ACATACGGTTTGTTACTGAGTGCATGGCTAGAGCTTCTGTACAACTTCAGTGTCCTTACATTGAGTTTAAAGTAGATGAGGACTTTTACTTTGGTAACATTATGTGATCATTTAACTTGCATTAACATGCATTGTTATTTCTTATTTTCATAGAAAAATGATATACTGCATGCATCAGTTACAGTGAATGTGCCTTGGGAACAATCAACCACTATTGCGTAGGTCAATATATAACTGATAATGAAGTGACTAATAGCAGACATTGTGGCCAGGAACGTCAGTTTGACCTAACAAGTTCTCCAGCCCCAAGGATTCTCTGGCTCATTGAAAATCCCCGTTTAAAATTCTCCATTTCCTCCGTTCATGTGTATTCACAAATGCTTACACCATTCAAATGATCTGTGCCTGTGTCAAATGCCAGGATTGTATAGGAAAAGTATACTAGCCTTCAGCTGAGCAACCAGTAACAGGCAGGAAGCAATTTAGGGCCTTTTGCAATTCCTCTTGAAGTCAGAAGAAAGGTTACAGGTTGGCCTGGATTCATACAGTCCAAATCTGATCGTACTGAAGTCAGTGGAAACCTTTGCACTGACGTGAGGGGGGCAGGACAGTCCTTTGCGTCAAACCTGTGTTTGCTTGAAATGGGTCTGAACTGTCAATAAGATAGCAACAGAAATTGTGTTCCTAAAACAGTTTTGGGACAATATGACTCAGATGTAACAGGAAAGTTATTTTCCAGAGTAGAAGTGTAGATAAATTCCATCTGATACTTTCGTTCTTTATCTCTGTGTTTGATACGTGAATGAAGAAATAGGGAAAAATAAAGCAGGTTAAGCTGCATAAACTGTTTTACTAACTGCTATGCAGAGAAGACAATCTGTTCTGGTTTTCCTCTATCTACATTCTCAAAGACACTAAAATGTCTCTGTTTGAACAATGTATAATGTACAAAACAAAAAACATCGGAAAGGTCTTTTTCTTAAAAAAAAAAAAAGCAAAGGGATCTCAATTTTAAATATATTTATCTTAACACACCACCAAATAGAAATTTCATGAGGACAGAAGAGGGGTCAAGGGATCGGTAATGGGATTTTGAGCCCTTCTCTGCCGGGCTCTGCTTTGAACCCAGCCCCAACTCACCGACGGCATTACCATACGACTGCCTCTTGCAGCCTTCGTAGCCGTGAGCAGTTCCTGCCCAGGACCACTCTCTGCGTGCTGAGGAATGACAGCGCTGTGTTTTCCATCGCCCAGCGCTCCGGCCTTTTCTCCCGAATCGAGGATTCCCACGTTGCACAGACAACAGCCCCCAGGCAGGAGCCGGAGCCGGGCCTCGGCGGGCCGCGCAGCCCTGGGCCTGCTCTGCACCCCGGCAGGGGCGTGCAAGCAACTTCCCCCCAGCACCCGCCTGGCAGCTTTCCCAAGCATGTGGGCTTTGCGTCACGGATTAATCAGCATCGCAGCCGGCTGGTGCTCCCCCTCCCACGTTTGGGTTCCCGCATGTTCACCTGGCCTGATAAATCTCAGCTTGAGTCCTTCTGCGCGCTCCTTGCTCAGAGTGCCGGGGTGTGCACAAACAGCAGGAGCAGGCTTTGGAGGAGCTTTCAGGCAGAAATGCAGCCACAGCCCAGGCGCTGCCTGTATCCCTAAAACACTCAAATCCAGAACCTCTGAACTGCTGTAGTTTTAACAAAATATAGAGAAAGCTGGAAAGCAGCTCTCATCTGTAATAATTACAACGGAGTTTCCCTTGTCCTTGCACTAGTTATTGTTTTCGCTCTTACCATAGATTGCTCACGACAGAAAAGACTATTAAAGATCAGAATATTTCTTTCTAGACAGGTGGCAAGAGCTTTGGTAGAAAACTCCCTCTTTCTCTCAGCCATTGCCACTTCTATTAAAAAGGAAACGAGTTGGTTTACACTGCAGATTGAATGAAGCATTAAATGACTGCGTTACAATGACTGCAGTGGGGGGAATGGTTGCCTCCAGTGGAAATGTGATGCTGTAATGATGCTTTTGGAAAGGTGCAATAATTGTTCAAGTATTCTAGTCTAGTTTGTCACAAAAGTTGTCCGTGGCTCTTCTCTCCCTGATTTTTGCAAGACTGGGGGGGCAGGGAGCAGGGAGGGAAGACACATGCTAGTAATTACAGCTGAGGCTGGGAAGAGGCAGGCAGCGGGGCACCTGCCAGCCTCCCAGGCCAGATGACATGCATCTTCCCTGACTCCGCAGCTCTAGGATGGGATTTTGCAAGGAAATAGCTCACTTGCCAATACTAATAATTATTATTAATAACCGAGTGACGTCCTAATCTCGGTTACATCAGTCCGCCATACCCTTAGCCAGAGCTGCTGCCAATCACGCTCACACAGAGCCCGTTCCCAGCAGGTTCTGTCGGCAGATCGCGCAGGGACAGAGAAGAGACGAGCCCCGCTTGCGCTGGAGGGAGACGGCGGGGAAGGCCCCGGGGCTGTGGCCGTGTTGTGGCGAGGGAGGGCAAGCGGACACGGTCTTAAGACCTGGCCAGACCCAGGGAGAGTCACCTCTCTAGGGTGGTTTCCTCATCCCTTCTGCAAATCTGTGGATGCCTGAAGGATGCCAGAGGGCGTGCGGGGAGCTGTGCCCCCGGGGGGCTGCAGGCAGACACTGCCCCGGCGACACCCCGGCTAGGG